GCACCTCTGTTCTCCCCAATCAGCACTGCTCTAGCCAACTGCCTAAACACCCACCATTTAAAAAAAAAACAAAAAAAACAAAGCGGGAGAGAGACAGAGTGGGATTATGGCGTCTACTGGGTCAGATCGATAGTTAGGCAAATTAAAACTAAAGAAAACCGTATGCAATTTAAGCTTCGAAATGACAGACAACGAACAAAAAAGGTAATTTGCAAGAGCTGCGTCACAGCGCATATCAAAAGCTCCCGTATCGGTTCTGTTTTCAGTACTGGAGAATAAAAGATACATTCTTAGATGTTTTTGTTAGTACGTGAACGTTATCTTACACATTTTATCTCCCCAACAGATTAATTTGAAATAAGTTTATAATGCATGTTGGCTATTCCCAATTCAGAAGAGCGCACACACAGCCTGTGTCTGTGAATGCTTCTTATACTCGCTCCTCTCTGCCCCACGCGGATTTCAGGGTTATAATGGGAATTGTATTGGTTTTAATATAAACTATAATGGTGTCTATTTGATGGATTCTATTGGTGGGATGTAATCTGGCAGATGGCAAGCAACCAATAGAACAACAGTAATTCCTATTGGAATAATGCCCAAAACAAAAAGGAATTTTGTAATGGTTTAATGGAAACTATAAGAATTTCTGTGATAGTTTCTATTGTTTTTTTTTTCAGCAGGGTAATGATACACATACTGTGCTGCACATTATTGGCAATATTGAGCTGAAGCTTGACTTTGCAAATTTAAAATCGCAAATCAAATCAATTGCAATATCTGTCAAAAAAAAAAAATCGCAATTTGATATTTTCTCCCAAATTGCACAGCCCTAATATATTCATTAATATTTGTAAGCACATCATGGTAGTATTGTTGCACTCAATTTTTTTTACAGTAATAAGAGACATTTTTTCTGCATTATGTTTGAGAATTTTTTGCTGAGCATCTAAAAAAAAACAATTTTAAAAAGTTTATATGGTAAATCATAAACTTCTTTTAAAAAAATCATAAAAAAAAAAAAAAAAACTAAATCATTCAAACATCCAAAATGAGGACGAAAATGAGGCTGTGAGGGGTAAATGTACAGAATGTGCTGTATAAAGGTCCAAAATCACTTAATTTTCACAACTCACAACTTTCAAACCTCCTTTGTGGAGCTCTTGTCTACTGCAAGTTATATTCGGAAAGATGTTTTGTCAGCTGAACAATTGCTATGTTGTTAAACAACAGTACAATCCATTGAACGTTCTGTACTTCTATCCTTCACAGCCTCATTTTCATTCCCGTCTTTCACTTTCATCACTTTCTGTCAGAAATTAAATATGGGTAGGGTCTATGCTGGAGCTTTTTACACTGCAAAAATGTGAATTTCATTGTATTTACCAGCTGCTCATGCTAACAATACAAAGATTACACAGAAGGTCAAAAACAGCTGTTTAATTCTACTGGTCACAGAATAGTTCAGATATTTATTTGACAATTTGAAATATGACATGACAGCAGCAGTCCACTGAAGGAAAGCACGCCGCTGAATGTTTACTAGTCTCAAGACGGCTTTTGCTATTGTCCAGATTGTTCTGAAAGAATGTGTCACATCCTCTCTACATGTTTAACAGATTACGCACAACACACACATACTGTACTATCAAAATCTTGCCATTCAATGCGTCCATTCACTAAGAACTAACAAAAATAAAAAGACAATAGAAACTCAGTGTTTCATATCAGGCTTTTCACATCACATCCTAACAATGCTGCAATGGTATTGTTTCGGACACTGTCAACAAATGTTCACATTTCTGTTCAAAGCAACAAAATGTTATGCATGTGTGTATTGGTGCGTGTTTACCTTTGTTGAGGGGCTCAGAACTTCCTCTGTTCCCTCTGAGTCTTTATCCTGAAAAGCAAAGGCCAAGGAGAACAAAACAATGAGAACATGCACACACACGATAATGTATACGAACACACACACACACACACACACAAATGCAAGTTATATTTTTAAGACGCTAACGTCAAAACAAAGTCTTGCACATTTGAGGAGGGACTTGAAAATGATCTTGTTTTCTGTCAAGACACAGTCATAACACAAATATGGCGAGGAATTAAAAACTCCTCATATATGGATATCCCACTATTTTCAAGTAATAATCCGATCTATTAGTGTTAATGTAATCATTAATGCGGTCTATTTTGGGTGATCAATCAGGACTGCTCTGGCATTCAACTTCCTGTTAAGGGTCTGACCTCTTCCCCTTCCTTCCTGCCCCACCTGCGCTACTGCTGCCTCCTGGAAAGTTCTTACTTCACATTTTCACTGCCCTACAAAGACAGGATACTTTTAGCACCAGCGCAACAAACCGAAGAGCAAAGGATGCACATTAGGTGTGTAACTGATGCTTTATCACCATAGGGAATTATGGGAAATGTAGTTTTGTCACTCAATACTTTCACCCTCATGAACTGGTGTATATTTTGGTAATGTTTTATCACTATTCTTCATTAACAGTATACAAAATACAAACACACATTCATGATGAAAACCTAATTTATGACTATATGTATATTTAATTATATATCTGTCATCTCTGCTCTTGGGAGCCCAGAATTTTTTAAGCCAATCACCTAAAAATGTAAAGTAAACAATCGTAAATTTAGGGTTAGTAAGTTTAATTTTTTTATTTATAAAATTTTTTTTTCAGCAAGGATGCATTAAATTGATCAAAAGTGAGAGCAAAGACATTCATAATCTTAAAGCTTTGGTTTTTAATTCAAATAACTGCTATACACAAGAAATGTTTTATGAGCACCAAATCAGTATATTAGAACGATTTCTGAAGGATCATGTGACACTGAAGACTGGAGCAATGATGCTGAAATTCATTTTAATATATATTAAGACAGAAAACATTTTATTTATTTTAAATTGTAATAATATTTTATAATATTACTGCTTTACTGTATTTTTCCATCAAATAAATGCAGCCTTTGTGAGCAGGCGCAACGTATTTCAAAAACTTTAATTTTACTATGTTTTAATATATAAAATGTAAAATATCTGTAAAATATATACCCTTGATTATGGCCAACACTTATGCCAATAAGACAAGGTTTAAAGAGCAAATCCAGAGCAAACACTTCATTCAGAAATGGCTTGAAGGCAGAATATGATTCACACAAACAGAGAGAGAGAGAGAGAGAGAAAGATCAACCTCTCCACGTCATTCCTCCCTCTACCCACAACCCTCTGCCTCCTTCATTTCTACTCCCTCACTCCTTGTATCACTGCCACACACCTCCACCCCATCTTACCAAAGCTTTTGGCCTGGTTACAGTGCGAATACTCTCTCGAGTGCTCATTTATAAATGAAGGAGTGAAGCTGAGACTGAGCAAAGAGGAATGTTTTGGATATTTTAAGTCTTTTACCCTCTGGACTCTGTCATTTCTTATGACTGTGGCATATTAGGGACAGCTCAGACCTGACTTTACTGAAAAAAAGCCTGTGATTGAAGAACACAGGGTCATAGGAGTCCATTTATTCTGCCTTTGGTTGATTTATGAAGGAACTAACCACAATATCAACAAGACTGTACCGCAAAATAACGATGTTTACCTACTGGCACCCTGACACGGTTTAAAATACAACCAACACTCATAAAATAGCTTCATATAAAACGCTGGAACAGAGAAGATATTCATCTAGAGGAAAATCAAAACTTTCTACAAAATTTGAAGTCCTGGACCGGAATAGAACTGGAACTGAATGTAAGTGCAGGTCCGTTTGTCCACATCCGTCGGGCTTCCTGCTCTACATACCAAGCTCTGGATGAGAAACTGACTAGCAGCTGAAGGAAGTGGTCGGATCTCACTGAAATATCCCTTTGTAGACCGAACAACATCAGAACATTCCTTTCCCTCTCGAACATACAATCCACAAGCCTAGTACCACTCTTACAATGAGCTATAAGCTTCACTAACAAAATTACCGTGGTACTACCATGTTTTGGACATGGTACAATGGAAATAATAGTTTACAACAGTCATATTATGTTGTTGTACTTTAATAGTACAATGGTATTCTCTGTACCTTGCATAAACTACAAAAAAAGTAGGCATACTGTGATAGTAAGTACACGGTACAGTATCAAATGGTAATACTATGGTACTTTGACATATTTTAGGGTCCAAAAGTTCATGTACCGTGGTATTTACAAGATGGTATTCCAAGGTAATTCCAACAATACCATGGTGTTACGACGGCCATTTCTGTACTTTTTTTTGTAACCGTGTAAATGCTAATTCAGTACCATGGTATATATCAAAGTACCATGGTATTTTTTTGCAAAGTACAATATGTTTGGAAATTGAATATTTACCTCGGTAACACTGTGTTTAGTGGACATGTACTATGATAATACCATGATGTTTTTTGAAGAACCTTGCATGCCCTTACAAAAAGTACCATGGTGGAACAATGATGCTATCAAATGAAATTTAAGTGAAAGTGAAAGTGACGTGACATGTGGCCAAGTATGGTGACCCATACTCGGAATTAGTGCTCTGCATTTAACCCATCCAAAGTGCACACACACAGCAGTGAACACACACACACCGTGAACACACACCCGGAGCAGTGGGCAGCCATTTATGCTGCGGCGCCCGGGGAGCAGTTGGGGGTTCGGTGCCTTGCTCAAGGGCACTTCAGTCATGGTATTGAAGTACCATGGTATGATGGTACTCCAAGGTAAAACCATGGTACACATCCGAATAACATGCTAGTACTGTGGTAGGTTTTCAGTACTTTTTTGAAAGTGTGTAAATACCAATGGTAAACATTTAGTATAAACACCAAAGTACCAAGATATATTTCCATATCTTTGGAAATGTTACATTTTTTTTGGCACTATCTTGGTAATAATGTGTTTTTGGACATTCATATGGTTTAATATTACTAAAAATCGTCTTTTTCTTTATATAAATGTACCATGGTGTGTTCCTTGAAGCTCTTTCCTTTACTTACTTTACTGTCGCAATACAGAGATGGTATCAGATGTTTGATGATATTACTTGGAAATATATATAAAATTTATATCAAACACTATGAAACTTTGAAAATACCATGGTATTTTTGGTACGTGTGATAATCAGTCACCTCATCATCTTAATTTTCACATAAATTAATAAAATAAGCATCAGTTAGGGTAAAATATTGCTGCGCATAATATTTAAAAATCTGGTTTTCTATTAAAGGCCAACTTTCAGCTGGGTTTCCATCCCAATGTGAAGCACAGTTCGCAAAAAAGAAAAAAAAGAAAAGTGAATTAGGTGCATTTCTATCAGATGATGGTGTTATTGGTAAGCTAGTAACCAAAAGTAAATAAAAAAACTGGAAAGACACCATCAGCAGAAACAGACGATTAGTTAAGTGGCTTTAATGTTCACTACGTCAAAATGTGTCCCATTATTCCCAAAATAATATCCCAAAATATCCCCAAATCTCCCATTATTCGCATTAACTCTTTTTCACACAAGTCAAAAACCACCTCAAAGTAAAAACTTTTTTTGCGAATTTCGAAATGAGCCGTTTCCATCACTGATGCGATACTTCAAAATGCGCATAAAAACAGGGCGATGGAAACATAGCTGAGTATGAGAAGTAGACCCACCTAGTCTGACAGTTTGGTCTAGCAGCTAGGCTGGTTGTCAAAGTCTTTCACTATCAGACAAGGATATCAGAGCTTTTGACTGCGCTCTTTCCCATCTCCGAGACCAACAACATGTTTGTGGAACAGACTCTGTTGGGAAGAACGTGATTGTGGCCTAGTAAAGGCCATCTAATATCACAGAATGCCACAGAACGCAGTGGGAATCTTTAACTTTTTACTGCAAGCTTCTGAAATACATTAAAAAAAGGGTGAGGGGGAGAGAAAGAAAGCTTATCTGCAACCGTCTCCTGCTGTTACGCTGTAGGGACCTTATCTGACTCCTGCAGTCTAACAGCTGACAGAACATTAGATCTGAAAGGGAGGACGGAGGCGAATGCCATGAATCTGTATTTAAACTCAGCCACAGCAAAGCCACATTTAATTAAGATAAATCTATGATCTTATCCACGACAATCAAACTACATGATGATATTATATGTTATGTACTCACTTCTCATGACTGATCTGAACACCAGTGGAAAATTGGAACCAATAAATGCACTTCTGTTCTCGATCCTCACATTCTGCCATTCTCATACTCTTGTAGACTCTAATTCTGGTGGTATATTACATAATATATTTTCATTGTCCTATTCTCTCATTCCACACTCATATTGGTCAGCCCTAGTGGTCAACAGATATTAATGGTCGATGTCATAAGCAGATCCAAGCAGATAATGCATATTCCAAATAAGGTGTTTTCATGACCCAAAATTCTGATTAAAACAGGCCAGCTGATTCCATTCTGATTTCTAAAAACCAAACTATGGCCTAATCTGTGTATGGCAATCTGGTTAATACTCATGCCATTTAAAATTAAATAACCAAAATATAACCCTGTTGAAAAAAACAGCATATGCTGGTTAGGTATGTTTCGACGCTGGGATGCTGGTTTATGCTGGTCCTTTTGCTGGTTTAAGCTGGTCCTTTTGCTGGTTTACGCTGGTCCTTTGGCTGGTTTACGCTGGTCCTTTGGCTGGTTTACGCTGGTCCTTTGGCTGGTTTACGCTGGTCCTTTGGCTGGTTTAAGCTAGTCTAAGCTGGTCCTTTGCTGGTTTAAGCTGGTCAAACCAGCTTAAACCAGCATCAAAACATACCTAACCAGCATATGCTGGTTTTTTCAACAGGGAACCCAAAAAAGCTTGTAAAAACAGATATTGTACCGCACTCTCAGTCTCTCAATTCTTTTTATTGTAATATTCCCATTTTATATTCTCATTCTCCCATAGTTGCATAACAACAAATGCTCTCTTTTTGCTATATTATTTTCATTGTGCAATTCTCTCCTTCTATATTCATACTGGTCAACAAATATGGGTTTATTAATGGCCGATGACAATCAAAAACAAAGGAACATTCAGTTATGATGTATATTCCAAAAATACACTTTTGTTCTCTACACTCACACTCTGCCATTCTCATAATGCGTTTCCATGACCCAAAATTCTGATTAAAACAGGCCAAATGATTCTATTCTGATTTATAAAACCAAAATGTGGCCTTATCTAGATATGGAAATCTGGTTAATGCATATGACATTTAAATAACCAAACTATGACCCAAAAAAAGCTTTTAAAGACAGTTAGCTATTTTTACTCTGTCTTTTAATCACACATTCCTATGTATATTCTCATTCAGCCATACTTTGAATACTGTCTTTTTCCTCTACTTGCATACTCAAAATATTCACATTTTCCCTTCATCGCATGATCCATATGCTTCATATTGTCAAACAGGAGCGATTTCAAGGGTGACACATTAATAAATGGATTAAATTATAGGGGGCGATAATTATTATTTCGCTGCTGTTCTTATAATCTGACTTTACGACTCACTGACTCAGGGGCGCATCCGCTTTGTAAATACACTTACTGTACAGGCAGAAATGCAACACAGCCAAACTATTAGACTCAAGCACATCTGATCTCTCAAATTTGAAGCCCACGGGCAACATCCCACCTTACCTTCCTCGCGTGCTCGTGATGCCACGCCACGTCGTCCTCCTCTGACTCTTCATCCACCAGAACTTTGCTCTTGCTCTTCTTGAACATTATACGCGCAGGGAGTTCAGCTGTAGCTCAGAAGCACGGTATTTTCCAAGCCCATGGGATGCGAGTGAAGACTCGAGGAGATCGCGAGGAGGCAGCGGTTAAATCAGAACAATAACCCGTCTGTGATCGCGCCCTGCCCTTCGCGATACCCCACACGCACACTTTCCACCGGCCCACTATCTTCTTCTGATGAACGTCTGAGCACACGGCTGGCTGGAGCACCTGGACCGCCGCTCCTCCCATTGTGGATCAGATTGCCACTGATCAGCTGGTTGTCATGGCAACGTGGGCGGGGCGATGGCCCCCTCGGACCCTCCCACCCGGACAGGAGGTCTTATCTGGAGCAGTCAGATATGTCTTTAGGGGTTCGGTCAGTATAGAAGTTTTTCATAAGCAGACTCTAGTGAGCCTGCAAACTTAAGACACTTAACCCAGCTTTCAAAAGCTAGGCATAGCATTAAATGATACAATATCAAACCAAGTGGCAAAAGCTCACTCTTTAAGTAAAAAATAAAAACATTTATTAAAATGAATTTCAAAAATTGCAATGATTTTTTTTAGTAGCCACAGGTTGGTTTGATACTTTGCAATAGTGCACTGAATGCAATCATTTAAAGTGTGGCAAATACTTTTATAGGGCACTTTGTATAAATGTTTCTTATGGGCCACATACACACACAAACACACACTCACACACACACACACACACACACACACTCTCACTCACACACACACACACACACACACACACACTCACTCTCTCACACACACACACACACACACACACACACTCACTCTCTCACACACACACACACACACACACACACACTCACTCTCTCACACACACACACACACACACACACACACTCACTCTCTCACACACACACACACACACACACACACACTCACTCTCTCACACACACACACACACACACACACACACTCACTCTCTCACACACACACACACACACACACACACACTCACTCTCTCACACACACACACACACACACACACACACTCACTCTCTCACACACACACACACACACACACACACACTCACTCTCTCACACACACACACACACACACACACACACTCACTCTCTCACACACACACACACACACACACACACACTCACTCTCTCACACACACACACACACACACACACACACTCACTCTCTCACACACACACACACACACACACACACACTCACTCTCTCACACACACACACACACACACACACACACTCACTCTCTCACACACACACACACACACACACACACACTCACTCTCTCACACACACACACACACACACACACACACTCACTCTCTCACACACACACACACACACACACACACACTCACTCTCTCACACACACACACACACACACACACACACTCACTCTCTCACACACACACACACACACACACACACACTCACTCTCTCACACACACACACACACACACACACACACTCACTCTCTCACACACACACACACACACACACACACACTCACACACACACACACACACACACACACATATATACATATATATATACAAATATACTGTATATATATATATATATATATACCTTCAACATTTCTCACATTATCACAGTTTATTCGCCAATAGTTTAGAAAATGGTAATAAAATACGCCAAGAACTCAGATTTACACTGTGTCAGAACAAATTCATCTTGATAATGTCAGATAACTTTGATAGAAAGGTATGTAATGAATTAGGCAATGTAAGGTTATGTAGGTTATGTAATGAACATAAATCTAATGAATTATTGTATAGCTGTCAGCTGTTTAAGAACACAATTAGATAATACCAATTTAGGTCAACCAATTACCAAGCAATGCTTAATTTTGTTCAGTCTGTGATGTAAAAAAGTTGCATTAGCAATTAAAGAAAAACACTTGAGCAAAATATAGTCAGGTCAAAGTGTCTCAATAATTTGTGTCCCACTTTTCTTTCAATTTTACTGGTAGTCCACTGTATGAAGAATTTTTGGGTATAATATGTCACAGTTCACTTTATTTTGCTATCCTCACTTATATAAATGAACTATAGTGTCCTGCACCCATAATAAAAAAAATATGAAAAATTATATCTGGTGTCTGAATAATTTTTGGTTTGACTGTATGTCAAAATTACAAATTGATTAGAATTAGAAATTACACAATAAAATACTGTATTCAAGTGACATTAAGATCGACTTTTCTTTGTTGTGTCTCATATTGCATCTCAAGCACTTCTCTGACATTGTTAATCAAGTGCAACATTTTTCATTAAATATTATTAGGGGTAAAATTGTTAATCGTGGTGGAAACATGTGAGGGATGGTTGTGATTTGGGATTTAATCCACTATTACACGAGAGATATTAAAACAAATATTGCACTTTTAATATAACCGCTATTTAACAAAAATACACTTTTTATAAAAATAGATTTTTTGTATAATAAAAATGCCCAAAATTGAAGAAACATCATAAATGTTTTGAGTAGATACTTTGAATGTGTTCACACTAAATGTGAAGAAAACACTATTTGTGCAGCATATCCATGTGACTTCAATGTAAAGTTTTCCATGTAATAAGTCTGTTTAATCAATAGTCTTGCTTATCAGACATTACTTGGATGTATATGTATGTGCTCATGTGATGTGAATGTTCCCATGCTTTAAATGTAAAGAATATGCTCTCTGTTAACTGCTTAAAGGATTTAAACACATGCAGAGCACTTCTAAGGTCTCCTCGGGGTCTTCATTAAGGAGATTATGAACTTGAGGGTTATGAAGCTGTTTGAGAAGTTGACCGTTTCCCACTGTGAGTTCAGGCAGATATGAAGAATAGCTTGGAAACAGCAGCTTATGCTATAATATTACAATTTACACACAACAAACAAGTCAGAAAAGCTGACCTTATCTGAGAAAACACAAAAAACTACAGATCAGAAGGGTCATCAGACATCATCTTTATACAGGCATGTTTACAGTAAATACATAAACAGAACCTGTGCTGAGCGCTGGTGTGATAAGAGTCCTGTCTGATTTAGGATGTGCACAGAATTGATCTGCGAGGTGTGAAGGTATTAAACCAAAGATACAGTACATATGCATCTGTATACACTACCGTTCAAAAGTTTGCGGTCAGTACGTTTTTTTTAAATCAATACTTTTATTCAGCAAGAATACATACAATTGATCAAAAGTTGACTGAAAGACTCTGTCTATTTAATATTTCAAACACGATGTTCTTTAGCTGCAAAAATGTATTACAATGTATTTCCACAAAAATTAAGCAGCTCAATCATTTAACATTAATAATATTAATAATGATCAGCTGATTTTTGAAGGATCATGTGACACTGAAGACTGCTGAAAATTCAGCCTTGTCATCAATAAATTACATTTTACAATATGTTACAACAGAACAGTTAAATAGAAAAATAGTTCACAATATTATGGTTTTGTATTTTTAATAAATAATTTAATTGTATGCAGCCAGTCAGTGAATGTATTTTTTCCAGTCAGTGAACAGTCACTCAATTTATTTTCAGAAATTGAAACAAGATATCCAACAAGACAATTCACTGGCAAATGACTGAATCATGAATATAACAACGATTAGCGCTACATGTAGGCCTGCAGCTGTATGTAGTTTTAAAGGGGTCCTATTATGCTTTTTCACTTTTTCAACTTTAGTTAGTCTGCAATGTTGCTGTTTGAGCATAAAAAAGATCTGCAAAATTATAAAGTTCATCACTTTTCAAAAACTACAACGAACGACTCGTTTGGACTACAACGCATATTTTCCGGGATTTGTGATATCACAAATATGGACGAATGGGACGAGACCTGGTTGAGCTGCACTCGAGAAGGCAATGAGTGTTATCACTATGTCGGAGACACGCTAGCTTTCCCAAGGCAGACGAACTTAGAGCGGTTACAATCATCCGGGTTTAATCGCGCTCTAATTGATTTGATATTGACGCAATATTTACACTGAAGCTCGCAGCAGGCGGCTAGTGCGCCGAGTGCTGCCAATCACAACACACACTGGCCCAGCTAACCAATCACAGCACATTTCGTATTTCAGAAGGCGGGCCTTCATTTGATACAGGAACTATTCGAGCCGTTCATGCAAGACTGGGGAGAGAGGTGTTGTAATAATAAAATATGTGAAAAAGAATGTGTTTTTCGAACAACCTAGTATGAGAGCCTGTTCTACACCCCCAAAACTAACACCCCCTTCTAACCCTTTAATGTATTTTTGCGACTTTGAAGCCGTCTGAGTGAAGTTCACTGTCGTAAATACAGTGGATAGCTGTTCATGTGCATTTGTTGCTGCCGTAAAGCAACCCGCTCTTTTCGCGGAATTGACCCGCTTACCAAATTACCCAGAACATGTTTTGAGAAAGAAACAGAAGCCTTTTGCTTTATTAGAATGCAGTGTACCGTCATAATGATTTTAAAACTGATATTTCAAGGTAAAAAAATAACGTACATACAGTTGCTTTAAGATTCATTTTGACGTCTAAACGTAATGTAGGCCTATGAAACTGCATTTTTTTTTGAGAGAGAGAAAGAAAGTCGTGAGAAAAAGCGCTCCGTTCACTTATAAATCTTCTTCCAGCCCACAGACCCATATCAAGGACGTAAGACAGTCTGATCACACGCTGACTCATCCTGAGGATATTACCCCTATTCTCTCTTTCTGCATACACAGCCACTTATTTACACACATAAGGTGCAAAAGACCAATTATCTTTAATGACTGGCAAGCAAACATAATCAGATTACCTTTGTGAAAGTTGCACTATTAACCCAACACAACAAATCTGTGTGTGCAAACACGAAAGAGATGGTTTGGGCACACATTTATGTAGGTTTGTGTATCCCTTTATTTGCTGCTTGAATGTATGTGGTTGCATGTATAAAGGAGAAGTAATTCCGACAGGTTGATTCTGGTTTGGATTTGCAGGGCTTAGTAGCTAAAGTGGGTCAGTGCATTTGCAACATAGCTACTAAAGACCACATGTGATTGTCTGGAAGAGCAGACATTCTTAAACAACTCTTATTTAGTGTTTCTATGTCTCACATAAACACAAATATTAACAGTTTAGTAGGTTGTAATCAAATGCTATTTTTAGGGGTTTTGGTGCAGTGCTGACCCCTACTGCATGACTTTGCCAGTGAATTTGGAGTTTTCATATTTAGA